AGAGAGAGAGAGAGAGAGAGAGAGAGAGAGAGAGAGAGAGAGAGAGAAAGAGAAAGAGGGATGAATGAGTAGTTTGGAGCGAAAATGTAATACAGAAAAGTTGCGCGGAAAATGTCGATGATGAATGAGCGGAAAAGAGATAGCTATATAGTAAGTATAGTGTAGTGAACTATATAGCTATCTCTTTTCATTTGACATTTCTCCGCGTAACTTTTCTGTATTACATTTTCGCTCCAAACTACTCAAATCTACCTAAGCTGCGTTCTGATTAAATATACACATATGTAGATTTCAATTATTTAATTAAAATTCTTTACAGCTGTGATACATAGCAGGAATCTTAAACTTGAAAAATGGCAGGGATTCCGTTGATATGCACTGGTGACTATAATGTGAGTTAGCCATTGAGTTTATGGTAAAATTCAACTCTTATACAAGAACTTTTTTCTTCAATTCACCAGATTCTAATGAACGCAATATATCGTGGTGATATAAACTCATTCCGCAATGCACTGAATTCAGTGTCAGAAGCTGAAAAACGTAAAATATTTGAAGTGGCGTGCAGAACGCCAGGCAGTGCCCAATTTATTGACGAGTGTATTTCAGCCGGCTGTGATGTAAATATGTCATTGTTTTCACAAGTTCGATTGCATAATTTAATTATTTGAACTAAACAAATTTATGCGATTCTTTTCCAGTTGAACGGCGAAGTCCATAAACGACCAATTATTTTTGTTGCCGAATCGTATTGCGAAGAGAATGTAGCCGCTCTGCTAAAATATCCAAGTGTTGATGTGGATGCAGTTTATTCTTCTTTTAAATTGACGCCATTACATGTCCTTACTGAACAAATAACCGATGATAGTTTTCCAAACATCTTGCCGTGTGTCAAACTGCTGATTCAAAGTGGCGCCAGCGCGGAGTTGCCTGACTGGCAAGATAGAACTCCAATTGAGCTTATCCTAAAGAATCCACACCTGAACATTGCCAATCAAGAAGTGATTTTGAGAAACTTAAAATTGCCAAATAATATTCAGATCAACGAAGAATGGGATTTCATTCGTCTGCTATTCTCATTGAAGAATAAGAAAGAGGATGAGTTCATTGAAGGCTTGAAGCACGCTCAAAAAAATAAAGAGATGCTTCAAGAGCTGTTTACTGCTTCCCTGGGCATTAGGGTGTTTTTGCCATCAAATAATCAAGAAATGGTAGTTCTGGATT